ATGTAATATTATATATTTACTCTATCAATAAAGATCATGAGAAGTGTCTCACCTTAACATCAAAAAAAAAAATAATTTAAATAATTGATTGTTATATATTTTTTGATAATAATGTTTTTAAATTATCTTTTTAAATAACTTTATTCTTTATATTTAAAAATATTTTTATGTTTTTTTATCAATTTTATTAAAAAGTAATTTTTCTAATTTTTTGGAATTAGACTGTATACAGTCAAACCTTATTATAATGAATAGGTCAGGATCATAAGGCAAAAATTTCAAGAAATTCGGTATAACAAGGTTCAATTAGTAAATCCAATATAATGGATTAAATTTGCTATAAATGTTTCTGTACTTACCTTCGGTATAGTGGGTTTTTACTTAGTCCTTCGGTATAACGAGGTTCGACTGTATATTGAATAGAGGCGCAGTAATGTGATTCGACATCACGTCACGTAATTAGTGTGAATGTGGGGAAAATTAGACGCATGTAAGCATATGGCGCAGATTAGCATGTAAACATAAATAAATAATAGCATATACAGTATAATATAGCCGCAGAGTGAGAGTTAGCATGAGCGTTGTATAGCATTTAACATTCTAAATAAAATAAACAGATATGATCACGCTTGTAACTTATTTACATAGATAATAAAAAACCAGAGTTGTCTAGAAGAGGGAAAGTTCTAGAAATGAGGCTAGATTCAAATATTAGTCAAGAAGAATGAAAATGAAAGATGAACCAGCCAATTATAACACGCCTCAAGAGTAAGACTTAATCGAACGCTTAACTCATCGCGAGAGCCCCGTAACAGTATACAATTTAAGCTACTTATTGTTCAAATTTGAATTATTTTTAATACACAAGATATTGTTTCTACGGAAATATTAATTTAGTAGAAGATTTGCTTGTGTGATTCAGAATAATAATGAATAATTCTTCCAAGAAACAAACTCAATTTGAATCAATGACGTAGATCTTTACAAGGAACAGCCTTCTACTAAATTTAAATATCTTGGTTTCCTTGTACACCAATTTCTGACAACAAAAACCTTTTGTTTGTCGTGAATTCTTGTATATTGGTATTAGGTATCCATTCACCCTTTATCTGGACTAAAAATATTATAATGATGAATGCATATTTTAATTTGTCAAACGAAGATCCTCTTATAAAGAAGGGAGACAAGGGAACATAGACACGAGTCTTAATATTATGCAAATATTCAAAGTTAGAAATATTCCATTAACCTTTATTATGCCGGGAATTTATCACGTACTATTTAAATTTTACAGATTTTTCGTTAATTTCTCTTTGCGCTGGTTATTTTCTTTTCTCACCGTTATTATCACTACGGCTATTATTATTATTATTTACCATAGTATTTAATATTAGAGATCGATTGATTCGATCATCCATAGTCATATAAGATGAAAAGAAAATTTACCACTGCCACCAAGCCTTTCAATAAACATGCAACTAGCTTATCCTTGCTTTCCAAAACAAATCCTGAGGTTTTTATAAAAATCTGCTCTACTCTCTCCCCCAGAGACCTCTTTTCTCTCTCTCAAGTTTCTAACCATCTTCGATCGTTTCTCTGCTCACAAGATTCTCAAACAGCTCAATCAATCTGGAGAAAATCACGTATAACACATCTCTATTATCCTAAGTTACCCCCTCCTGACGATATGAGTGAACGACATTATATTTTGTTAACATACCTGGCTGTTAAATGTCAGTTTTGTCGCCATCCCAGGAAACAATCGAAAGTCTACTGGGCATTTGGGGTTAGGTGTTGTATGGATTGTTTTCATCAGAGGACAGTGAGGTAATGAATTCATTGCGAAGTCGATCCTCAAATTGTGCACCATTAATTAACCATTATGTTGCATCTTACTAGTGAATATAGTCTCCTGACCCGCTACAAAATTCCCAAAGAATCGCTGAGTGGTCTATCCTACACTTCACCGTGCAATTATAAAATCTATTGGAGCGAGTCTGTCGCGCAGGCTCAACGCGACTATTCCTCTGCTATTGAATCTAATTCACTAAAAGAATATCTATATCTTCAAATGAAGCTGCGTATATCGTTCATGCAACAAATAAAATCTTATGAACTGGAATATAGATCAGAATTAATTAGATGGAATCTACATAATAATACAATTATCGAGGATATCAGATTGAGGTCGAGTTGCATGGCAGAAGAAATCGCAAGAGATATGGAGCTGGACACTAGAAAGTTAATAGATTTGGGAGTTTACTGTTATCCGATTGAATTGAATTCCACAAACAATTCTACAATCAAGGGTATGGGCGATGATTGTAGTGAAATAGATGAATGCGATGTTCAAAACTTTTTTATTAGCGATGAACAATGGAGAAAGTGGAGGAAGGAGGTGGAAAGCAAATGTAAGATGGTTAAGAAAAGAAGTTCGGGCTGGTTCAACAGACTTTCAATTATATCGGTTAAAAGTTGAACGTGAACTCTGCGAACGTAGTCAAGTGAATGCTTCTGCGGTTCACCTTTTTTTATTTCATTATTAAATAATATAAATAACTATTTACAATATTCATAATTCAATGTCAATTAATGTAGACACATATACAGTGTGTTGCAAAATTTTTGGAATTTTTTATTTATTCATTACTCAAAAACTATTGCATAAAAATTAATAAAAAATATATCAAAATGAAGCT